AACGGAAGCGGGCTCAGCTACGATAAGCTAGCTCCGCCCTCGCAAGCTAGTTCCTCCTTGATCAGTTTTTAGTTACAAGGTCTCGTTGGCTGTGATAAGGTCTCCGGAGAGGAAGATCTCATCAAACATGCCTTAGAAAATGAGTGGGAACGAGGCGGCAGCAAGCTTCAGAGAACTCGCTCAAAGTTCGGTGAACTCTCCATTTTCATTACGGTGCATGGAGTCTCGTTTAGGGCGTTTCCGACGATTTCCTTCGCTTTTTCCTTCGTAAGCGTTCCCCTTACCACATGATCTAATGGTTCTGACATGAGCTCTACAGCCTGCGAAAAGCGATCGCCGGCGCTGTCTCTAATCGAAGTTCTCAGTCAAGGTTCTAAGTAGGTCAAGAAGTGGTGAGGAGTCGATCATCAACTTCAGATTCCTATAGCTTCCTTCTGTGAGCCCTGAGGCCAATTTTTATTTGGATCCATGTGACACAAGAACCCGTTGTAAACATCATAGCTAATGCATAAACGACTGATTGATGATGTTGTTGACTAAAACAGGTAAACATGTCCCGATATACTACACAAATTACCAGTTTACACTTTCACACATCACTTGTAAATAGTCAGCACAACTGCTTCATAGCGATGAGTAAGTGGAATTAGGGTAGCACTGTTACAAAAAGCACTATATTACGTCGGCAGGAAAGTTTCGCCACCTTCATTGTAAAGAGATCTTTAGGATCAGATATAGACAGCGTTGTCATTACGGGGCTCTTGCCAGTTTTTGAGCACCTTCTGGATGCCATCGCTTCACAAGTGCAGGTCGGCGCGACGCAAAGTTGGACGTCATTTCTGTTCTGACACGGGTTCGGGTCATGAAAACGGGTAATTCTGGAAGACAACTAGCAGATGGAAGCAGCAAGTACTTCCAGTACCAAGATCTGACACCGGTTCATGAAGGGATTGCTACACCAGCATGCTTTGAGCACTTCTTCATGAAACCGTTGTCGCTAGGTGCTTATGTCGTAGAACCGTACATGGTAGAAAGGAGGGACAGTGGCGGGCAGTTTTTTACCGTTGATCACACCGACTCGCTGCAAATCTTCGCCAGCAAGCTCTGCTAGGGGATTGACCGTCGGAAGCAGCCTTCTTCAGCCATTCCACAAGCTCTTGCCTCCTAAGAAATCGCAGAGAACCCTGACGCACACAGTTTGAATGTTATCCCAGCAGCCGCGCGGCCATTCGTCAGGCGGTGACGCCCTCGCCGACGGGGCAACATTACGATTGTCTTGGCCTTCCTCATCTGAGCGACAACCACTGCGCCATCATTAGTGCCCCTGAATTATCGCCTCACAATTCCCAATACGTTTGTTTCATAAATCGGTGATTTAAACGAAGCAGTATGATACATTAGGAAAAAAAATCAACCCTCCCTGTGTTTAGTGTAGACACGATCAGAAGTTTCACGACATTAGAGAGAAGAAGACGGGAACTAGAAATGGCGTCAGAAAATGAAAAGTGAAGTAAGAAAAAAAATGGAGAAAAGGAGAAATGAAGGAATTGTAGCACATGTTACAGTACGAATGCAAACATACCGCTTTGGAGGCTTGATCGTAATGGGCTGACGTGGTAGCCTTGTCCAAAAGACCAAGATTTTCGTTATCTGAGATGAGAGCACAGCGTACGTGATTCAGATTTTCCACCTGTAAAACTGACGTATTTTCATAGAACCATGATGTCTGCCTAGCTCAGCCTGAAGTCAGGCATGCCTTACCGTAAATCGTCCCTTTCTGGCGCTCATCACACGACAGACGCGTTGTTGTTCGAGTTCCACCACGGTTTCCATCTGAAAAGCTTTGCGGTTATATAAATGAGAGGGAGCACGTACGTGATATGAGCGATAAACTGGCAAAAAGACAATGCACGTGGGGAGTGCAAGAAACACAACAATTAGATCGAACTTTGTTCCACACCTTCTACATTTAAAAGCATGATGACACTCAAGAAGCTGTTCGCTCACTGATCTCTACCAGGACTTTTGCGCTAACACAACTGTTGTTGGGGATGACGAATTAAGTAAGCACTGGTCAAATGCGTTCTTCATTTCACATCCCACTTCACAATCCCCATGGTACTCTAAATGCGTTGTCGGTCAAACAATGGCTTGGTGAGTAGCAGTGTTCCACGAACTCAGTTAAAACCGGTGCTAACTAAGTGGTTTCGGATATGGAGCGAGGCGGAGGTAGTGTAGTGGCAAGTGGCACGCTTACGCGCGCACTGTTACGGATCGGATCCTGGATCGGCTCCCGTTCAGGCCAACCAAGCCTTCTATCCTCCGGGAACGGTGAATTGGTACCAGATTCGTCTGGGAGGATAAAACACTGACTTGTACATCGGCTGGCCCGCAAGTCATTGTATAGGCCACATCGCATTCAGTAAGCCACTACGATTCTGAATGAAGTAGAATGCGTGCCTGCATCCCCCAAAGGGATCAGCGGCGACGACCTTATCCTTTATCCTTTGAGCTAAACTT